CCCTAACCCTAACCCTAACCCTAACCCTAACCCTAACCCTAACCCTAACCCTAACCCTTACCCTAACCCTAACCCTAACCCTAACCCTAACCCTAACCCTAACCCTAACCCTAACCCTAACCCTAACCCTAACCCTAACCCTAACCCTAACCCTAACCCTAACCCTAACCCTAACCCTAACCCTAACCCTAACCCTAACCCTAACCCTAACCCTAACCCCTAACCCTAACCCTAACCCTAACCCTAACCCTAACCCTAACCCTAACCCTAACCCTAACCCCTAACCCCTAACCCCTAACCCTAACCCTAACCCTAACCCTAACCCTAACCCTAACCCTAACCCTAACCCTAACCCTAACCCGCACACGCGTGCTCAACCATACAAATTGTGGCCATGGCAGATGGTCGCGCCCAACGCTCCGATAAGAAATGTCCAGCAGTTATGCACACACCGAAAGATATGCTCAAACACAAAGCACAACGGCAGTAATTCCATACTGAGAAGACGCGGCCTTTCACAGCAGTTGTGGCTCACTTTTTGCATAAACTGCGAGACGGCAGCCACACAACAAACACACACACCGCCACCGCCTCCAGTTCAATCCCACGGCCAACGGCATACGGCCACAGCCCGCTGCCGGCACACAACGCACACGGAGCAAGCAATCTCCCAAAGAGTCACACGCGGAAGCGATTCCTTATCCACCCATGACGCGGCGCCTCACTCCACGCGGTCACACGGAGCGCATTTTTTCACAATAGAACTTACCCTTCGTCTATCCCTTGAAGATGCTTCACTTAATGATCGGTCCTAGAAAAAAATAGAATGAAAAGGAAAATGTATTAACAATACGATACAGCTAAAGACAGTAATTCCTTAATAACAGAGCAATTCTGTTATCACGTCTTGTCTACAGACAGAGGAATTCGCATAAATAAAACTTCTTCAATATTTTCTTACCATTAATTAAAATGCCCCTGGCATCCCTGATTTGTTTTTCTGTCATTGTGAAGGAATATCGCGTTGTAATTTTTTGGCATCTGTGCGTCTTACTCCCAAAGGGGATGATGTACTGATGTCGTATAAAAAAACAAACATTCACATGTATTAAACAACTCGAAATATGTTTTTCACCAAAAATATAAATTTCCCTTTCCCTCCCTAAGTTTCTTCTGTCACTGCTATTATCACTCGCGTTGAACATTCTTAACACTTTTGTGCTGTGCTGCCGTGTGATGCTGGTGCATCCGCAACGTATGGACACACAAGTGTCTGTATATATTTATATATTTCGAAAAAAAAATTTACCATAAATCAAAATGTCTCTTTCACTTTTCATTTCCTATTCTGTTTCCTGTTCTTGTTCTTCTTCCACAGTTGGGAGAGCTTCTTTTCTTTTAAAGTCTCTGGATGATACAGAAACTTGGTACTGGTGTACCTCCTTCTCCCAGAACGCCACAATTTCTTTTTCATCGTCGCTCAAATTATCGGTATTGACGGGACCACATCTCTGCCAGCTAGTCATGGGCGTGCTGTCTGCGTGTTGTATATAAATAATCTCCCACGACATGTCTCGGGAAAATTCCTCCCAACCATTAAAATATGTCGCCATTTTTTCTTTGAACTGATTCACGGTGCTGGGTATGGTGCGATGCGCACTCGCCGTAGTAATCTGCAGCCCAACCATGGTCTTCGGATTTGACTCCATGAAGAAAAAGGCGTCCACCAACGGAAAGTTTTGGGCCACCGGTTTGTACAGCACCCGAGACTCTATTTCAATCTTCTTCTTAAAATTTTCCAGTAACGGTAAAGGAAGGGGCTTGAGAGGGCGCTCATGTGGACGTGATTCCAGCGCACAGCGGTGTGGCGGAGCATCTTCTTCCAGTTTCAGCTCCCTGAGTTTCGGTATTATTGCATTTACAAAGGCCTCGCTCAAAAACGTAAACACAGAATACTTTTCAAGGGCTTTTGATAAGAGATCGTCCTTGATGGCCAATATGAGTAAAATAAAATCATTCGGTGGCATTAACTCCGCCAATTTGCATAAAGTTAAATTTCCGAGATGAGGAGACATCAGTCCATTAAAGGTCGATTCAATATTGCGTACTCCTCGTACTCGGACGATCCTTACAAGTTTGTGAGACACTTTGTCACCACCCAACATTTGCGTAGTTCCGAAATGAAGGTAATATTCGGCATCGATGCGGTTCAGTTTACAAACGGTATCTTTGCACGATTGAACCCGACCATTGTATTTGCTTTCATCAAAGATGTAGCGAAGAATTGGTCCCACTTCTTCCATTCGACGATTTATATTCCTCCAGTACCCAGCTTGCTCAGTTGGCTCATTGCGCTTCATCCAAACGCACATCGCTTTCACATCGTCTTTTTCAGGACAATTCATTATGATTCGCTTCGGTGACCTGTGTTTCTCCCATGCGCCAAAGTTGTCCTCGTTTGGCGATGTCACCACAATCATGCCCCATACCCGAGAATTAGGCATCGGATACGGTTTACGGCCATCTTTTGCCACGTCGTATATAATATACGCATTCACCCCACGGAGAGACAGGGAAGCAAGAACATGTTCAATACTGGCCCCACCCATGTATTTTGTCACCTTCTTGTCGGTCTTTTCAAATAAGAATGTTTCATTCCCAATAACGTACACAACCACAGGGAGTTTCTCGACATCGCAGTGCAGCAGCTGGTAGAGGAGGTACGAACCGGCATTCATCGACTTCCCTATCCCGGGCGTCCCAATTAACAGAAGCCGCCCAGGCGTAAAGTAGGGCTCACCGCGAGTGCTGAACCACTCGGTTAGATAATGCTCAACGATCCGCCACACTCGCTCCACCTCACAGTTCACATGGCAGTCACGAATGAATTCATCCTCTTCCCACGAGTACGGCCATCCCTTGTCCGAGGTAAGCACCATCATCCTGGGAGGTGCTTTACCGGATTGCTCCACACCGTCATCCTTTTCGAGGGTGTAGCCAACTTTCTTGTACGTCCATGACTGTTCCGGTTTCCCCTTCTCCACCTTCATTCCCATTCCCGTCCCCGCTTTCTTTCGCTCATCGCCGTCGGGAACTTCCTTGACATGATGCCAACTCGCATTGTACACAGACTCGTAATATCCCTTCAGTATGAACATCCTTCAGCCGTCTTCGTTGAATTCCGCGCCTGAGAGAAGACTATTTATTATTCTCTCCTGCGTGAGAATCGATTATATGCCTGTTTTCTTGGTTGGATTGAGTTAAAGCCGAACACTAACCAATAATCAAAAAAGGAATAGGAGTAATAGACAAAGGTCACAGGCATGACTGACAGCCTCAGCAAGAGAGTCATCCACACAGTATTCGATAAAAACCACATGCACAGGACAACCGCAACGACGGCGCGTGGGTGCCAACCACCCAAAACAGTTTTGGAGAGAGCAAACAATAAAAACAACGTGGTGCGCACGGAGGGCTCCTCCACGCATACCGCTCGCCACGGTCCCGCACCCGTGTGGCACCGCCGTCACCGCACAAACTCTGCAAGAGGACGTAGGCACATCGCCACGGGCACAAACACACAAAAGTGGGAAGAGAATTCGGTGCAGCAATGGCCACACGCAAGAACCACAAATCATACACACCGCAACAGCGATGCATCACGGTAATCCCCCAAACAGCAGAAAAGAGTGCAACTTGCATGCTTTATGGAAAATATCTGCAATGCGCGTGTCACAAAAGAGTGCCGTGATGCTGCCTTTCATATTGCATTCGCCATTCACGTATCACTGGAAAGCACGCAGCCGCCACTCCTCCGCTACACTCCCCGTGCTGCTCGCGTCGCTCCACTGGAGGAAGTTGTCACCGCACATCCCCATCACCGTGCACTGCGGAATACAAACCTACCACACGGCATGAGTGCGGTGCCACCCCGCCAATAAATCCCAGGAAACTCCCCGCTGCCTCGTGTGGCACGGAGGGCAGTATCATTATGCCTGCAAAAGGCTTTTTTTCCCAATCAATAACGCGGCCCCACCACACGCCCGTAAGAACGTTTGGTCCGTCGCACGCAAAGGACTGAAGCGGGAGAACAGCAGGAAAAAAAACACCGGCAGCCATGAGCAGCCCGCACACGCCAACACACCGCTGCCCCGCATATCACCAAAAACAAAAATACCAAAGAAACATGTCACATCCCAAATACAAATCGCAGGTGCGGTTGCAGCACACACTCCCACCTCCTGGGCGTGTGCAGCCCCTCGCTGCTCGGCACTCTAAGTGAAATCACCAAAAGCACCAATTCGGGAACATTCGACCACCGCCACAGCAGTCACGCTCCCCATTTCTCACAAAGGCAAAGGCTTGCGACGGCGCAGCGGACGGCGGCATGCACAGTCGCAGGGTAACGAACTGCCACGGGAAGCACGCAACGGCGATGCGCCCCTCCTTTTGGCCTCCCAACAAAAAGCATGTGTCGCGCAGTCCCCGTGAGCAACACAAATTGAACCGTATCCAGCTCCCCTACTGTGGCCATCCGCACTCACAGCATGAGTGCGACAACGCGGGCCAGGAAGCACGGAATAACACCACTCATCCCTCCAATAAAGGTCAGGCGGTGTCCGTGCTGCCTTCAACAATAATTCCACCCCACATCACCCTTCTGCATATCCACAGCAAAAAGGCCCACACGGTGCACACTACATTAGGAGTTCCTAAAGCGCAAAACCGGATCATCAGAGCGCTGCCCTCTTCTCAATGTTGGGTAGAGGCTCCCTGATCCTTGTCGCCGCCAGCCTGCGGTATTATGGAGGAGCATCACGTTCTCGGCATATCTCTCCGTTTTCCCTCGCTGTCCCTAGGCCAAAAATGAAGTGATGTCCCACAAGCGATTTCGACCGGTCTGAAGAAAGTGACGTATCAGACTCACTGAAACTGTGCGTGTGTGTGTTATTACGGGCGAGCGACACAATGCTCTCGCACATCCATGTATTCCGATCCTACGCAACACACCATCTGGTGGTGCTGAAAGCGTTGGACACCGAACACGCACAAATCGCACAATGAATGCCTCTGGAGAACAAACCCCCCATTGACGTCACCGCAGGCACCGTGACAACAAAGTAACAAAAGAAATCCAACCTCCGTGCGTCCTCCCGCAAGAAAGTGAAGACACACACGCTTGTCCACTTAGCTTCACTCCAACTGCTCAAAAGTTGATAGGTCCACGGCACGAGGAAACACGCCACTCATCCCTCGCTCCCTGTCACGAAGCATGGCATTGCGCATATCCAGTGCATCTGCATCACCCAAATACGTCCCTTTGGGGCACTCGCCTCGGTAGTCACCAAGCACGCGCCGCTAGAAAGTGTACTCCCAGTCTATGCTGCTTCTCCTGAGCGATCTGCTGCCTTGCCGCACAAACAAGTCCACAATTTACGCATTATGACTGCAGACACGTGCCAGTGGGGATTCTCGCCCTTTCCCTCAGCCTTGCAAAGAGCATGCGCCATACAAATGCCGGTCATAGGGCAGACACACGGACGCTGATACCCGTGACAGTGCGTGAGATACTCGCCGCAGAATGAGGTGCCGCAGGTCTCCGCTCACTGATCCAGATTGACCACGCTGAAGTCCACAACTCCCGTGGGTTTGGCATCCCGATGGGTCGTCGTGACTCGTTGACTCCCATAATGGAGGAGTGCCAAGCAAGCAAGAACCAAAAGCCTGGACACTCTGTGGAGTCAAAACGATAGAAAACACGGGCTGGCGCGGGCACAGCTAAGCGCCATGGGAGAAACATCTCAGCTCACCCCATGGAAAACACTTCACCAACATCACTGCAACATTGGCCTCTTGCTTCGTGGGTGTGTCACTTCTCTCTTCACTCCGTGCCAGCCTCCGTCCAATTCCCCGCCCAGCAGTACTACGCGTCGCACGGCGCTGCTTCCGCACAATCACACTTCGCGGTCAATCATCGTGACGCACCTCAAACTGCAGTCGCATCCAACCTCGAAAGCCCCCGCACCCTCTTCCGCCCTCCTGTGTGTCGAGAGAAGACGCCTCTCTCGCGGTCTTCGCGTCCTCCCCAATAAAGCTCTGCAGTTGTGCCCAAACATCACCGGGTCTCTTGCCAAGAAGGAAACCGTGTGCGACGTAACCAATGTGAGCATACACAAATTTAGAAAACGGTTTATAGGCTCTCTGGAGTGCCCTGCGTGCGCCCGCATGTACGATGGGAACACACACGGTGCGAGTCGGGCGAGATCACCGTTCCAGCTCGCATCTTCACCAGGTGAGTCGTTGACGGCTCCACCCCGCTTCACGACAGGTCAAACAACAGTGCACAAGTAAGTAGCTGTGCGTTGCATTCACATGTGGTTCGCCTTTTGGGTCCAACGTCGTCAGGCGGTGGAAAGAGACGAGTCGCATTATCATTCTTCTATTTGCTGCTGCTGCCGCCTTATTTCCCGTAAAGAGCCACTGATCCCTCTCTCTTTGGCGATAAAGAGTCCTCACGCATGGGATGCATCCTGCCTCGTGTGGCATGAGGAACAGCAGAGAGTCCCCAACGTTGCCAATGCGGGATTGATCGTCCAGTGCGGTGAATGCAACACGCTGGATCTGTCGGAGGATCGTCGTGCACAATTCAGTCCGCCCGTGGCAGATACAATCCTCGGGCAGCCACGCCTGTGCAGAACAGAACATTCCTTTGGAAAACGCCGAGCAGCTCCACCGACGTGTTGGAAAACCTCACAAAAAGAGGTCCGGTCAACCTGCGGCACATTACCGTGCAACTTTAATATCCTGGCATCGAGAAGAGCGTTTCTACCTGAGAGTGTTCGCCCCATCATTATCATCATCATCACTGCTCAAATCATCTCAACAGGCAACAATGGAATCGCTCTCGTATTGCCCATGCCCGTTGGCCTCCTCCACCCGCCGCATCACGTCCGTATGAATAAAGTCTCGTCATGCACAGCGATGCGCCCTCTCTTTTCAGATAAATATCAATATTTTATAGTCACCAAGGCAGCAGTTCAATTCTCCCTCCACAGGCACACCTCATAGGGGACATCCTTCTGTTCCCTTTGCCGAATCAACGCACCGCACCCAGTGGATAAGCCCTGGTAGTTCCACCAAAAAATAAGTGTTCGATTCCCACAGTAGCGAATACTCTGTGTGATATGGAACGCACAGTTTATTGTGCTAGTGCACCGCCTCGACGGCCGCCTCGCAATGGTGCAAAGGTGTCATTCCACTGCCTGAGTGAGGCCTAAGCCCCACATTACACGCACACAGAGAAGCACACGGCGCATTTGAAAATATATTAATATTTTTTCACGGCACACCTATGGGAAGGAGCAACACCCCCGTATGCATGTTGGCAAAGCAACGGCCCCACAACGGCGGTGCTAAAAACACGCATCCAGAAACAGAGGAAAAAGAAGAAGGGTGTGGAAGACCCACAAGAAATAATAGATAGCCCATTTAAAACTGGCAGCAAAGAAAAGGAAAAAAACAGTAGCAGTAGTACTGGTGGTGACCAACATCTCCCTTTTTCTTCACTCGCTAGTAGCCCAAACACGTGGGGTTCAAAAGTCCTCTTCACACAAAATTGTGCGGCAGTTAGCCTCTCTCCAACCAGCCGCCTCAATACATCCAAAAGAGCACACAAGAAAACCACAAATAGCCATGGGAAAAGAAAAAGAAAAACAATAAAAGATCCCACGGCATTAGTACGGAGGCGGAACGACACGCTTTTCGCACAATTAGTCATAAAGTCGGCCAGAGCAAAAGAGATCCAGGCCCGAGCAAACTCGGACGCCACAGGCGGTTATTGTGCTCCTTTCAGGCTTTTCCGCCGGCTCCTGTTCCACCCAAAGGAAGAGGGCTGGCAGAATGTGATGCTCGCCGCAAAGAGTTGCTGCATCGGGGGCCAAAGAAACAAATCCTCGCATATTGCGGGTGTCAAGTGGGCCGCCCCACCGCATTTCCGCGTCATTATCGCTCGGCTCCGCACGTGCGTCTCTTCACGTACCCCGTCGTTCCTCAAGAGGCCTTTCCGCAGGAGTCCTCAAATGCAGAGGACGCTTGAGAGAAACAAGCCAAGCCTCGCAGTCGCTGTCAGTCTCACAAACACCTCCAGTGATTTCCCACC